TAACTGGTAAACTGGATCATTGCTTGATAAAAGAGAGGATGTATGATGTAAATGTTGTACCTGTAGGAATTGATGTGTCATCCACTGGCAGGTAGGACTGAGCACTGATGGACACTCGGTGGTCATAGATATCTGCTGCACCCTGCCAAAACAAGCACACATAAGCACGTACACAAACACGCACATGCACGCACACAACACAAACACATGACATGCTGCATCCTAACTAGGCTTTAACCAGTATAGCTGTGGCCAATGCAGCAGCAAGAGATGGTCAGGAGGTGATAGCAGCTTAAAGGAGGCCAACATTCTGCTGAGCCAGCCAGGACAAAGGAAACAGGAGAAATTGACAGCAAACACCAACATTTTCACACACCTCATACTTACTCGTCCTCAAAAATCAATCCATCCATTTTCAATTTTTTTCAGCCGAATCATAAGACTTTGTTCATGTTGAAATGAGGAAGGGTTTTTTTTATTAAACAGGAAGTACTTTATAACTGGCCTGTTATTGGTCAAATCTCCAAATTTTGTGTGTCAATAAGGGTCTTGGCCTGACCACCCCCAAGCGAATCTTGTGAAGTTTCCAAGTTTTCAGCAAATGGGGTTTTGATGCTGATGCAAATAATGCATCGCTATGGCGACTGTGTTTCTTGAAGAAAAAAACAACTCAGGAACTTCTCAATATTCGCACAAGATCTTATTGGTTACCTGACTAAAATTTAGTAAGCACTGAATAAACTGCTAAAGGTTATATGTACCAGTATACAGACAAGTGACAACAGTAAACATTTTCATGGTGAAGGATTGAAATTCACCCACACCACTTTGGTAACACCATTTGGTAATAAGTCACTATTCACAATTAGAGATCATTAACGTCTTAAAGCTTTACTGACCAGAGGGGAAGTAGATATGATCCAATTGACTAGGAGCATGATGTCAAGGTGTAAAAGCAGTAACTTCCTGTTGCCACTGGGTTGCTCTGTCACTTAGACTGAATAATGGCATGCAGTGTTCAGACATACAGATTGGACCATGCACAGGTCAGTTATAAAGTACTTTTGTTTCATGAAAAAACAAACAATTCCACCAAACTAAAAACCATACGCAAGGATTTAAGATTAGACTGAAAAAGTTCATCAGGTGAATGCCCTAGGACGAGTTTGTCAAAGTGTGACTTGTGGAAATGGCAATTAAATGCAGCAAATTTGACCAATACATTTGAAATGGCAGATTTCTATGGATTTAGGGTATGACTCCAGGAGGCCAACTAGATGTCCTGCCAATGGTAGGTGGTAATGCGGTAATGGTAGGCCAACTGCTCCTCCCCCTCCCCAAAACATGCATAAAGGTGCAAAGGCCCTTCGGTATTGCTTGTAGCTTTAATTCAATTTCCTCTTCCACCTTCCCTATAGCAAATACATCTATGACATTTAAGATAATTGTACAGCTGATCATATGCCCTTACCTGTCCAGCCAGGTTGAAGTAGGAGTGGTTGGTGAGGTTGATGGGGGTGGTTTTAGTTGATCTGGCTTGGTAGTCAGCAGTTAGTGTTTCCCCCTGTATGAACAACCTAGATCTTACTAACTCAGATCTGCAAGTCATTAATCTATATGAAAAATGTATTAAATTTATGTGAGATAGATTGTTGCAACAAAGTAGGTGAGAACACACCATTTGTTCCCTCTTCATAAATTGTTCGTTCATAAAACTATGCCTGATAATTGTTTGTTCAAATTGGCTGAAGTACAACAAGATGTCCTTGAGTGACACACATTATTTTCTATAGGATCTGCCACAAAGTTGAACAGTTAGGACCAGGTATGTTTACCTGTAGCATGTAGGTCACAGAAACCTGAACCTCCCCAGGATAACCCTGGTCTCCATCTGGACTGGTAAGACTCAGCTGTACCCCATCTTCCACTGCTGTAGCAAGCCAGATTGCCTGACAAACACATACAAATCTGTTTTAATTTGCATTCTTCCATACACATACGTCCAACACATGCAGTGTAGTTAAAGTACCCAGAAGATGCACTTAAAATGGTGAAAAGTTGAGTCTTAAACAACCAACACTTTTTATGCTCAATATCTGGAACACACACCAGAAAGTAAAAGATTGAGTGAGAAAGCAAATGACAGATACTTTGGTGGGTGCCAATCATGGTCACATGCCCTGTTTGATTTGGGACAACACTTCCCTGTTACAATTCATGCACTATGCCAATGAGTATACTGTGTACACAGCATACTAGATGAGAGTGTACTGACTGAAGTATCTCAATTTAGATACATTATGTATTATGAATATATAATACATGCAGAATAATAAAGTGGAGATGTTTTAGTTATTAAATGTATGAATACGGGCAATACAAAAAAAATCAAATACAAAACTTTAAATTTGATTGATGATTGAAGTGAGTTTTAGATTGCATCACCATGACACTTTTACTATGTTTATGTCTGGCATCTACACCACTTCAGTCTTCCAGCCCCGAAAATAAAGACTTTCAGAAACACTGCTGGTCAAGCTTTAATTTGAAAAGTGCAAAGTATTATAGGCATTAAGGAGAAAATGATGTCTGGCCATTCATCAGACTCACTAATCCTGGCATAACAAAATGATGTGTATGGTCAGATGCTTATTTCATTAACTCAATTCCTTTATGTGTTCATACTGGCATGAACATTAACGATGGAAAATTACAGGCACGAGCATGTTCATCATTTAGAACAGAATGCCTTGTCTCAACACATTACATTGACGCCGGGAACACTGCCTGCAATGCTTGTTAGCAACGTCCTCATGGCAACTTCCTGGCTGAATTGCAAAGGCTCACTCCTGTGGCACACAGGCAGTGAAGCAATTTTAACATGTTTACCTGTGTGCGGAAATGAAAACAAGATGTTACACATATATAATGCATGCAGTGTCCCTGGCCTATGATACTTGAGTCTGTAGCAAGCCCTATTAAGACTTAATCCAGACATCCTTACCGACAATTTTTAAGTGAAACCTGTGTGAGACAATTACGAAAAGAGAAAACTAATTTTCATTCATCAAATGGCATAAATTGTTAAAAGCATTCTACACACTCAAAAAACGAACATTAAAACAAACCTTATTGAAACCCTGCAGCCCTCCATGCAGTGCATTAGGCCCATTGTTGATATCGAGTTGGTACTCTTTTCCGTCCACTACAAAGCATCCCCCTGCGATCCTGTTGGCCACACGTCCTACTACAGCTCCCAGGTATCGCTTATCTGACACGTAACCTGGGAACATAACACAACACAGGTTACCCTAGTTCAACACTGAATCTATTCTCCCTCAGCTTTGGATGTATCTCTCAATGTTGTTCTTTGAAATACAACCTCAAGAGGGATTACTACAAAGATTACGTTGATCAGAATTTATGCGGTGTACAATGTTTGTTCAGGTACTGCCTATATATTGAAGAGTTTGAAGTATTGAAGTTTTTTGGCATAAGCAGTTTAAACTAAAGGGTAAATGCTGAAAATACACACTGATGTGCTTAGTTGGACAGGTACTGTTTTAGAGTTATTGCCTACTATTAGAATTTGGGGTTTTCATTAGCTGTAAGCCATAATCATCAAAATTAAAATAAATAAACGCTTGAAATATTTCACTCTGTGTGTAATGAATCTATATAATATATGCATTTCACTTTTTGAATTGAGTTATCGAACTTTTCCATGATATTCAAATTTATTGAGATGCACCTGTTTATGCATCTAGTTGTATTCCCCTCCTACCTTCCAGGTTATCATAGCCCAAGACTACGTCCTTCATCTGACCATCCTTCCCTCTGCTGAACACAGATCTAATGATTGCACCCAGGGTGAGGACCTCCACCCGCAACAGGTTAGATTTGAGGACCCACAGGTCCACACTGCCTAGGCCGGACACCTCTCCCCACTGCTGATGGCTCACTTCAGTCATCTTGGACCTTCCTACAAACAGGGCAGTACAGAACAGCACATCACCTCACCATCACAATTTAAAGATTCACAAACACTGTCAGAAAGTATTCAGGCAGTCACAAGTTTGCATGCTAATTGTTGTGCCTTTAATTTAAAATAAATGCGTATTTATCAAAAATGAAAAGCTGAAATCTTTCAATACACAACTCTTCACTTAATTCAGTACTTTGAAGATGAGATGCTCCTTTGACTTACGCAATGCTTCTTAGGGAAGGCGTTTATATGTGGGGTTTGACTAGGCCACTCAAGGACTGTCAGACACCTGTCTTGAAGACACGATGCTGCACCGGCTGATTGATTCGGGTCACCGTTGTGTTTAGTTTGGATGTAGTCCAGAGCAGGTTCCTGTTCTCCCTAATTTCTCTCACCCTTGGTCAAGACAGATGCCCGTCCTCACCTCACTCTATGTCTGGTTTGCTCATTGTGGGAACTGATGGTACTTCTAGCAGGTTCTCCATCCTCTGCACTTTTGATTATTGGTCTCTTAGTCTTATCAAATTACCTGATTGGGCTGCATAGCCAACTGTAAGAACAGTCCCAAATGGCTTTATATTCTATTCCTTTGCAACTGTTTTATCATAGAAGTTTCTTTGGACTTACTGGCTCATTTTTTGTCCAGACATGCAGTGGGGACCTTAACAATAGGTGTAAGTCTTTCTAAACTATGTCCAATCAAGTCCTTAACCCATCTCAGCCATGAAAGTAAACACTCTTACTCTCACAGAATTTAGACCAAAGGGCAAAGGGTGTTGAAGAAAAATTGCAAATGAGGATTTAAACATAAATTAATTTGTGCCAATTCTAAAACAGGTTTATACTTTGTCATTATATACAGATACTGAAGGTGTCTGGATACTCTCTGAAGCCACTGTGTATTTTGAATGAAATAATAACAGTTCTTAGCCCAGCCAATTATTCAGAATGAGGGAGATATACATGTATGTTACATATATGTATGAACAATGAAGTCATGTTCCTAACAGTGAAACATGCCTGAGCGTCTGTAGCCCCCCTCTCACAGCACAGTGTGACCTGTCTGCTGCCCGAGCCACAAACAAAACTTCTTTACAATCAGATTCTGTGACAGTCTGCAGACATCAGTGTTTCACTGAGTTATCTCTCACCTCCAAACACAAAAAGTCGAAAGACGAGCGTCGACGTGTTTATATCTGACTTCCTGTAACGATGACGCGTCGGCATAGAGTGCCACACATAATCCCTGAGTACAGACTGACAGGCAGCTAGGCAGACTTATGACCAGGACCAATGGCTGTTGACTAAAACGCCTGACAGACTGAGGAAGTCACATAAGCACATTTCTCAATGGTTTCTTCCCCTGCCGCAGCTCAGGGATATTTACTGGACACCACTGTCAATGTCTGTGTCAATGTCAATTGTATATATACCGCACATTTAAAGGTCCAGTGTGTAAGATTTAGGTGAAAGGGATCTATTGGCAGATATTTAATGTCGAATAATCCTCATGATGTTTTCACTAGTTCATTTCATCTAAATTGTATGAATTGTAGTTCTCTTTTAGCCCAGAAAAGACCCTTTATATTTAAATACTTCATCGAGGGCGTCCTCATACGGAGGCCGCCATGTTTTTAACATTAGTCCAGACTGGACAAACTAAACACCTTTTGAGTTTTTAACCAAAGCTACCACAGATTATTTTCACTTTTGGAAGGGGAGGGTGAGGTGAAGGGTGTTCAGCTGCAACATGCAATTTCAACACAAATTCTACAATGTAGCCTACCTTACAAAAAACTTGGTTGACCAGAGTGGTTCACAAGGCACAAGGTACAAAAAAAGGACAGTAACACACACTACATTAGAATACTAGTAGTCAAAATAAAACAAGATAAAAGAGAGTAGAATAATTTAAATCACAATATAATAAAATATACAATGAAATCAAATCTGCTGGGATAAAAAAGGTCTCAACTCGAGAAGAGATGTGTTTTTAACAATGATGTGAAGTGTTCTAGAGAGGGGGCAGATCTAATATGGGGTGGTAAGCTGTTCCACAAGTTTGGGGCGGCTACTGCAGCTGAGTGGCTGATCTCAGCTTTCTTACTGGAGTGTGAATATGAAGAAGTTCAGCTAGGTACGGCGGTGCCAGTTCATAATGAGATTTAAAAGTTAACTAAAGATTTTTAAAATCAATCCTGTGACGAACAGGAAGCCAGTGGAGGGAGCTCAATACACATGTAATATGGTCCGTCTTCTCCTTCTTCCTGTCAGGAGGCTGCAGCAGCATTTTGGATGAGCTGTTGAATAGATGACTGGTCTAAGCCCACATACAGGGAATTGCAGTAGTCAAGTCGAGAGGTTATGAAGGCATGGATCATGGTCCGCAAAGCAGTGAAAAGAGACATCATATTTTTCAAAACATTTTTTTGCTAGGGGCAGCATATATAGGGAGAATAGGACAGGGCTTAGAATGGATCCAGTGCCATGGTTTAAAACCAGACTGGAACTTTTCATACATATTATTATTGAGTAGAAATGTTTGCAGCTGGGTGAGAACTACCTTCTCTAGGACAAAAAAAGCAGTTTAGAAATGGGCCTGAAGAAAGAACAGAGGGATCAGGCACATACTGGGGGGTCATGGTCAGTGCTTGTAGTTAAAAAGGATCTAAGAACAGAAATATTTTCAACAAAGAATTTAAGAAAATAATCCCAGACAACAGATGTAGGTAGAATAGGAGTAGAGTAACAGGGTTTGTGAGAGTAGTATATTTGTGAGAGTAAAAACTTTCAACAAACTTTACCCCGATTGCTGGAATAAAATTAGGGTAGGAAAATCATTCTGGTAATTTTACTTTATTAAGAAAACAGAGCAGGCCTATGAATCATGATCAGTAAAATTCTCCCATTCAGATTCCTAAACCTTCAAAACTCCCCCTGAAAATACTGAGGACATGAAATCATTGTTCACATAAAATAATGGCAGTGTTTGATTTTCAAAAATGCTTCCGCTGTTTCAAATAAAATGTTCACCAAAAGAATACAATTAGAATATTGAGAAACACCTCTGCATAGCCCCGGAGATTTTTAAAATTCTGTTTAAACTAACAAATTAATTCACATACAATGCTTTAACATCCATAAGTAAGAAATCTGTGTTACTTTGGAGTAATGTTCTCATTGTGTGACTCAATGGTCATCCTCCTTTAAAGGTGACTGTTTTCAAATCAGAGGGAAAGTTATTTAAATATGTAAATATGATTTTAGAATAGAATAAAACACACCATTTTGGGGAAGGCATTGCTTAACTTTATTCCGCTTTCTCAAAAACAAAGCTCTGAAACTGACAAAATGCCCTTCCTGAAAAAAATACAAATTTGTTCTCAAATATATGACATCTACTTATGTATACAGAATACATCTCAATAAAGATATTACACAAAACATTACAGTAAACCTCTTACCTTATATGTGAATTGACAGAATTTTCACTTTGTACTTTATAGAACACATGCTTAGCCATTCTTTATGAGTAAACGAACAATACGCACTGAAATTATTGGGGCACTGTTGTACAGATATTGTACTATTATTATTCTATATTCTATATACAATAATATTCGGGTGTGGTTTCTTCACATTGTGCTTCTGTAGGATTCCCTTAACAAATGTAAAACCTTTCTCCATTATATTTGCTGTGGGCCATAACATGTAACACTACTGCAGCTTACCACTGTTTGAGTGTAATCACTTTATCCGTGTTCAGCTTCTCCATTATTGCATCTGTGGCGTTTTTTTCCTGTTGACTGTGCAGCGGACACTTCATACTTGTTGATTTTAACCTTGAGCTGCACTGACATATATGAGTGGAGCCAGTGGCTCAAGGCTATTATTTGTTTTGAGATTGTAGATACAAGATACAGCATCTGTAACCAGAACCAAACATTTATCATAGTCATCATTTTTTCATAGTCAAGTATTTTGACTGTTTATCTGTTCAGTCAAACCAGAAACACTAGATAAACCTTATTGTTGTAGTCTATGGGCTACAAACAGCACTTAAATCATAAAGATTTAAAAACAGACCTGTCCTGGATGAGACGTGAAATATCCATTTTACCTGTCTGCATGGCAGCAAGTTAAATTTTTTTGTTCGGTGTGTAGTTGAGTGGGGAGGTGTAGTTGTGGTATATTTTGAGGAATGACGCATTTACTTTGGATCATTGGTTGGTTCTACTGGGACATCTAGTAGCAGTGAATACCATGTATAGCCTTTAACCAAAGAAATGTATAAATCAAAATAAAACCCATGGAAATAGCGATACCAATTTGAGTGTATCCATTCATTGCAATGCATTCTAACATATTATATTCCTACATTCTGGTGGGATAAAACATTTTAATTGGTATTGTTCTCATTACACAGATACTGCAAAACACTGTTGCAGCATGTAGATATAATTCCCATCATCAACATAATTACATCCAGCATAGTGGATTTTCCTATGTGACTTCTCACTTAATAAATACTCAAGGGCCTGAGAGGGCAGATAACTTTAGACTTCTCATGTCATGATGTTTACAGTAACATGATTCAAGCATTCATATAGAAATGCCCAACTTATGTTCAGTACAAGTGTACTGGATGAGCTCAGGACACTTTGAGAAAACATCCATTTCATTTTACATATTTGGCTGACGTTTGTATCTAAAGAGACTTTAAAGTGGGAGATGACACTAAAACCTTGTAATAGATGAAGAGCTTGAATTGAGTAATAAATCTGTTCAATAAGACAAAGTGTGGAATATACCATAAAGGTTCAAGGACTACAGAAGAACATACCATGTCAATTTATTGCTTGTTAATGAGTTGCGTTTGACTCCACTCCTCAGGATGTCAGAAGTGATTTACCTCCTGGTGCGTGTTGTAGTGCTTCGATGGTAGTTGGCGAGCTGGTAATGTGTATAAGATTCTGGTATTGCAAGTCTTTGGTAATCTTTTTTAGCCTGGCCTGTCAAAATTGCCTCTTGTGAAAGCAAGCCCACAGCACTGTACGAGCACTTTTATACAAACAAGCTTTTTAAGTGACTTTATTGGTAACTGGAGTCAATAAAATTAAAAACTCAAAATATGTCAAGTCAAACAATTTTGTTGGACTTGTTCATTCCAGTATTGAAACCTGAATGTTCCTTCTGTGTTGTAAAAACCAAACACCTGCCTTCACAATATTTCAACTCCATCCATTGCTGTAGGCCTTGAGATGAAGTTCTGAATGAACAGTTAAATACAGAACAATAAAAT